ACATCAGTAACTGCGATATATTGATGCAATTGTTCTTCTTTTATTCATACGAGTTGCATTGTTTGAGATAATGTGAATATATTCTTAGATCATGATCATTGACTTCAAACTGATTTATCCGAGTGGTACTGCAACTGCTCACCTGATCAACAGTTTCCATACTCCACAAGGAGCTAAGCTAGCCAAGTGAGTCTTTAATCTCGTACACGATTGTTAGTACATACACCATCAACGATTGTTTCTTAGCGATGATTGTACTTACAGTTCTAATTGCTCGTCACTGCAGGAAACAAGTAAAAGCTTTGGGAAAGTTTTTCACCTTCAGCTTCTTATGGGGCTTCTTCCAGTGGTTTTTTACAGGAGGGGATAACTGTGGATTCGGGAGCTTTCCCACTTTTGGTCTCAAAGCCTTCGAGAACAGGTACGTTTGAATTTCCATTAATATCTACTTGTTTAGCTATGTTGCTCTGGCTCTCCAAAAATGTTATCACACCCGTGTCAGATCCTCCAAAAATGCACTACTTTTGGAGTATTTGGTACGCGCCTGGTGACATTTTTTGAAGAGCCCGAACAATATAGATGTTTCTGTACTCAATTGTGTAACTTGGAAGCACTACTTTTCAATGTTATCGACTTATTTCTCTGATCAACCAGGTTTTATTTTGACTTCTCCGCGACATATGTTGGTGTTGGGATGATATGTCCATATCTAATCAACGTATCGTTGCTAGTCGGAGGAATCCTTTCGTGGGGTATAATGTGGCCTCTTATTGAAGACAGAAAAGGTCATTGGTACCCTGCTGATCAAAGTCCTAGCAGCCTTCACGGCATACAGGGTTACAGGGTACGTAATCGAAATGACACGCGATGTTTTTTTAATTGAAAATGAAGCTAATGGATTTTCCGCGATGCTCTTGTAATGCAGGTGTTTATAGCAATAGCTATGATCCTTGGTGATGGTCTTTACAACTTCATCAAAGTACTTGGACGAACATTGTATGGTATATATTGCCAATTCCGCGAGAAAAAAACAGGTTCAGTCCTTCCTGTTGGTGCCCGTGCATCCCCTGCAGAGGCATCTCTGTCTTATGATGATCAGATACGAACCGAGCTTTTCCTCAAGGATCAAATCCCTACGTGGGTTGCTATAGTCGGTTATGTTAGCATTGCCATCATCTCCACGATAACGCTTCCACACATTTTCCATCAACTTAACTGGTACTACATCGTGGTGATCTACATTTTTGCACCAGTACTAGCCTTCTGCAATGCTTACGGATGTGGTCTGACTGACTGGTCATTGGCATCAACGTACGGGAAGCTGGCAATCTTCACTATTGGGGCATGGGCTGGGGCTAGTCATGGTGGTGTTCTTGCAGGATTAGCTGCTTGTGGTGTCATGATGAACATAGCCACAACTGCATCTGACTTAACACAAGACTTCAAGACGGGTTACATGACGTTGGCTTCTCCTAGGTCGATGTTCATAAGCCAGATAATCGGAACAGCAATGGGGTGTGTCATTTCCCCTTGTGTATTTTGGCTATTCTACAAGGCGTTCCACGACTTAGGGGTTCCAGGTTCAGAGTACCCTGCACCTTACGCTCTAGTCTATCGTAACATGTCTATATTGGGAGTGGAAGGCTTCTCAGCTCTACCAAAGAATTGTCTCACATTATGTTACATATTCTTCATCGGAGCTATTGCAATCAACGCGTTAAGGGATGCTCTAGGAAAGAACAAGGCAAAGTACATTCCTCTTCCGATGGCAATGGCTATACCGTTCTATCTAGGATCATACTTCGTCATTGATATGTGTCTCGGGAGCCTGATTTTGTTCATCTGGACAAAGATAAACAAGGCTAAGGCCGATGCATTTGGACCAGCTGTCGCGTCTGGACTAATTTGTGGCGATGGAATCTGGACCTTGCCTAGTTCAATCCTAACTTTATCAGGTGTGAATCCACCAATTTGCATGAAGTTTCTATCAAGGAAGGACAATATCAGAGTAGATAAGCTCATGAAACATTGAAGACGTTAACGTGTAGGTTTTATCGCGTTCTTATTGTTCTGTTTTTCCTCTGTATGTTCGCGTTTTCCATGAAGATTGTTTGATGTTTATATTGCTATGAATGTGCCATAAAGATAGAAGTAAAATTTAAGTAGAGAACATGTTGATCTTCATATGTCAAGTTGTAAATGTGATATATTTAAAGTACCCTACATAAGTTTATTGTACTATGTCATTGCTCACATTCACAACTTCATATTTTGGTTAGATAATATGCATTTTGTAACTAATTCAAAGTTACAAAATACAGTCTAAACTAAATATTTATGTAAAATTAAGGGTCGAGTTGTTATATTTCCTTTTAATAAATTTAAGGGAAAAAAACAAATATGTTCTCGAACTATCGTAAATGGTATGCAGATACCCTTCGTTATACTTTAGGGACATTGGTGCCTCCACCGTCTAAAAACTAGAGCATATATCCCCTCACTTTAACGGAAGACTAAATAGGGACACGTGACACAATCTTATCCATAGATCCGATATTTAATAAATGTCGGGTTGATTGATAAGATTATCACACGTGTATGTCCGTTAGTATAAATGGTATATATGCTCTAGTTTTTGGATGACAGGGGCATCAATATCCCAAAAGTATAACGGAGGGTATCTGCGCACCATTTACAATAGTTCGGGAGTATATTTGTCCCTTTCCCTAAATTTAATGATAATATCCCGTTGCAATTTGGGGACGTGACACTTATACTATTTTTATATACGGTTGAAATAATAATTCAAAGTTGGAGTAGAAATCCTAAGTTGTTTAGGATTTGTTATTTTGAAATTTATTTAATTAGTGTCTAGTTATGATTTGTTTGTCCTAGTTCATATAGAATATATATTTTCTAGTCCTAATTTAATTTGGTTGCTTACTATTATAAATATAGATGTTGTTAGTTATTTTCAATATACAGAATAAATAGAACTTGAAGTAAGATTCAAGAACTTTGAGTTTATAAACAAAATATTTTCCTTCATATACTCTACTAAATGACCGTCAATAAAACTTATTTTTCCTACTAACAAGCTCATTTTCTTTATTTTTAAATAGCTTGTGTTTCGTAGAAAAAATATTTAACCATAGAGAAAAAGAGGTCGGCAGGGAAACAAAAGTTGCACATAGTACAATAATAGCTTTTTAATTTGTCATTATAACAAAGTTCACTCCTCTAAGTTTTATGGCAAATGAGAAAACGAAAGTTAATTGAAATATTTGAATTTTCTTTAATTCCCAACGAAGGAAACGAAACGATCCCCACAAAAAATCACTTTCAAAAATAGTTATTTTCTACATTTCCCTATATAGGATTTCACTTTTTTCCACACCAATTTAATTTCTTTCTTTTTGATTATGTTGCACTAAAAGTATATTAGTCTTAATATAATAATTTTTACGTTATCAGATCAATATACCATAGCAGGTGACTTACATTATATAAATTTAAACTTATTATTTTACTAGAAATAACTTGCAAATCATTTTTTTTTTAAAATTTTATAAAACTAATATTCTAAATCGTTTGGGAATTAAGAAGTTCGTGAATTAATTCCTATCGGGGGGTCAAAATTGGGTGTCAAATATGATTAGGCAAGAAAATGAATAGTCATGCATGGTAGGCAAAAAGACTAACTTTAGTCTTCTTAATTACAATAATTAGGACATTCAATTTTATAATAATTAGAAATTTTATTTTAATAAAAAGATAAACTTTATGTTAAGTAAACTGGTGAAAAGTGAAAATATTTTATTTATTTTTTAAAAATAAAGATTAAAAAAGTATAACTAATTTAGTTTTAAAAAGAGTAAAAATGTCTATAAATTTCAGCTAAAATTTATTATTATTAATTTTATATATATATATATATATATATATATTTCAATGGCATTGTTGTAGTAACTCAACTTTATAGGGATATTTTGGTATTATAACTGTTAACTTATTAAATATATTAATGGCATTATTGTAGTAACTCAAAGTTATAGGGATATTTTGGTATTATAACTTTTAACTTATTAAATATATTAATGGCATTATTGTAGTAACTCAACTTTATAGGGGTATTTTGGTATTTCAACTTTTAACTTTTTTCGTTCCCACTTTTAGTAATATATGATACTAGTACTACCAAGTAAAGTTACCTATTGTTTTAACTATATTCTTTCCAAGTTATCAAGTCTTAATATACGGTAACCTTAGTTAATTTGTTGTAACATGTTAAGTATTTCATCTCGATCACTTTTATTTGTTCAATATATTAAAAATTATATAATGTATATAGGTCGTTTTTTTTTTTCATATGTATATATTAAATCTTGAATGTCTTTAACGAAATTTTTGACTTCGCTACTGATCATTATATTTATTGCTCTATAAAGGGTATGATAAATTAATACTGAACAAATAAAAATGAACGGACGACTTACTATTTGCCCTTTTATATATAGTTTAAGACTTCAATTCTAAGTCTTCCTTATAACTTCTCATCATCTTCCTCTTTCTTCCTTTTAGCGTTTGGAATCTGTCACTTTTGGTACAGTATATAAACACTGATATTGACACCAACATGTAATATTATTAATATAAATATACAACTTTCCTTTAAGTTTTGGCAAACAAAAAAATGAAAAAAACTATATATTATAAGTTTTCCTTGTAACTTCTCTGTTTTTTTTCATCTATTTTAGTTGTTGACTATTAGTCCACCTTGTTGAAGGTCTTTATAATCTTTATTCCACACTTTTTCTCCTTTTTATCATATGATTGTACGAAATAAATTATTCTCCTACATTAAAGTTACTTATCATTTTCCACATATATTTTTACTAAACTTTCATCATTTTTGTTGAATGCAGCAGTAGAGAATATTTTGTTGCTTCAATATAATATAAAGTTATAAGTAACTAAAAGATCATAATCCTAGAAGAAGAAGAAATACAAAGGTAAAGTTTTTATTTTTTATCTATTTGTTCTTGCATGTTGATGATCATGATGATGATGTACATGTTGTTGTTTTTTTTTATTTATTTTTTGTATAATTTTGATTAATATTAGGGGAAAATGGCAACTACTACTACAAAGAAGAAACCAGAGAAAACAATTCCTGGCTTAGTGGAGTTGGTGTTTTCTTGGTCTTTAAAGGATGTGTTGAACAAAGATCTTTACAAAGACAAGGTTTGAATTCATCTTTCTTTTTGTTCATGTTGCTCGGACTCTTTGAAAATGTTGATGAGTGTTTGTTAGATCTTTACAAAGTATAATGTATTTTTAGAGGATCAGACACATGTACGATAACATTTTTGGAGAATCTGAGCAATATATGATAGCTAGCTATAGTGTGTTAACTTATATATGAACACATCTTCTTTTGTTTTTACATAGTTTGAGTCAAAATCAATGTGTTTAGTTGGTTGAAACTTGAAAGCTATGTTGCTCCGACTCTTTAAAAATGTTATTAGGTGCATATTGGATCCTCTTAAAATAGTGCATTTTTGGATGATCTGACATAGGTACAATAACATTTTTGGAGAGTCCGAGCAGCATTATAAGTTGTTAACATTTCATGTCTCATGTAGTATCATGAATTGTACTATAATTGTAGTTTTGAACTTTTGTGTCAAATTTATTGTAATTGGTTCTGTTTTGATATGTTAGGTGAAAGAAATTCCAGAGACATTTGTGTCAATTGATCTTTATTTGAAGTCATACATAACTCCACTAGTTGAAGAAACACATGCTGATTTGCTATCAAATGTGTCCACAGTTTCGCGGGCACCTGCTCTTGAGGTTGTTGATGTTAAAGTATCAAAAGAGTTTAAGCCTCCGAAAGGTTTATATTACAATATTTTGTTGAAAAGAAATCAGAAAATAGAGGTGGGAGAGAATAGTGAATCGAAGCATGAATCGAACTATGAACCAGAAGTTGGTGATCTGATTGCTCTAACAGATGTGAGACCACGAAGAATCGAGGATTTAAATAGGCCTAAGAGATCGTTCCTAATTGCTATAGTTCAAGGTATGAATGATGATGGCTATAGAATACCTATCTTGTCTTCACAGCTTATTCCGTTTAAGAAACCGGATAGGGCAACAGGTGAACAAGGGGACAAGCTTTTTGTTGTCTATCTTTCTAATTTGACAACAAACCTTCGAATATGGAATGCATTGAATCCAGACCGGGAAAATTCAAACTTTAATATCATTAAGACTGTGATGAGAGGTGATGATTTGAATGTTGTAAGTACTTTTTTCAACTTTACTGTTATAGTGATCATACGTGAAATTAAATTATTAGTCTAACATCTAATGTACATTTCGTTTGTAGGGTGAAGTAGACTGCTCCCTTTGTTCCGTTAGAGAAACAGAAACTAATATTGCTATATCAAGTTCAAGAGCCATTGCTCAATCTTTCGAGCTAGATAGTGCTCAACAAGAAGCTGTTGTAAGTTGTGTTGCTACAAGAGAATGTGCTCATCAGAACACGGTTAAGCTAATTTGGGGTCCTCCAGGAACTGGAAAGACAAAAACAGTTGCTTCTTTACTTTATGTCCTGTTAAAGATGAGGTGCAGAACTTTGACTTGTGCGCCCACGAATGTTGCTGTGTTGGGAGTGACTAAGAGGCTGATGCAGAATGTACAGAGTTGTTTGCATTATGACACGTATGGTTTAGGAGATATTGTCTTATTTGGTAATGGGGAACGAATGAAGATCGATGATCATGAAGATCTGTTTGATGTCTTTCTTAGTAACCGTGTTGCTGCTCTTGCTAGCTGCTCGTCTCCGATTAGTGGATGGAGAATTGGTATACAGACCATGACATGTTTGCTCGAGAATCCTGAAGAAGAATATCGTAAGTACTTGGAAAAACTAAAGGACAAGGACCATGACAGTGATGATAATGTGGAGATAGATGATGAGGTAGGGGAAGAAAAAGGAAGTGTTACTAGTCAAGAATCTAGTTTGAGCAATGATCAAGGACTCGACAAAAATAAGAAGAGTAAGTTATGGAAGAAATTTGTTGTTGATACCTTAAAAGAGAACAAGAAGGAAGATAAACAAAATTCTCAAAGGGATAACAACTCGAAAGGTGGTGAAAAAGCAAACAAGGTTAAGAACAAAGGGGAGGCGAGCAGCAAAGAAGTCATCGTGTTGACACTTGATGAGTTTGTCAACAAAAGATTCAAATGTATCCAGAATCAGTTAACATTTTGCATAACGAGCTTGTATACGCATCTACCTACTTCTATCATTTCACTAGAAGTAGCTAAGGAGATGATCAGACTACTTAAGATGTTTCAAACTCTTGGAAAATTGTTTGCTACTGTGGAACAATCTGAAGGATTAAAAGAAATTCTACCGGGATTTGCTACAAAGAATAAGACAAGACGTCTAAATATTCGTACTACTAAAACAGAATGCCTAAAAGTGTTGAAATTTCTTAATGAAAGCATCTCTCTTCCCAATTTCATTGAGGACTACAAAATTCGAAGTTTTTGTCTGAAAGGTGCATGTTTGATTTTCTGCACGGCTTCTAGCTCGATAAAGTTGCACACGGAAGGAATGACACCACTGGAGATGGTTGTTATTGATGAAGCTGCTCAGCTGAAAGAATGTGAATCCACTATTCCGTTACAACTCCCTGGTCTCCGCCATGCTATACTCATCGGTGATGAAAAACAACTGCCTGCTATGGTTCAGAGCAAGGTTATAAGTAAAACTCTTTATAACTTGTTTTTTTAATTTACTGTGCTGCTCTTTTGTCATTGACAGCTAGTATCCGTTATATACAGATTTGCGAGAAGGCAGAGTTCGGGAGGAGCTTATTTGAGAGGCTGGTAATTTTAGGACACAAGAAGCACCTTCTTAATGTTCAATATAGGATGCATCCAAAAATAAGTTTGTTCCCAAACAACGAGTTCTATCAGAAGAAAATTATGGATGGTCCTAATGTGAAATCAGCTGCATATGAGAAGAGATTTCTTACTGGAGATATTTTTGGCTCGTATTCATTTATTAACGTAAGTAGTGGAAATGAAGATCAAGATGAAAGACACAGCACGAGAAATAAGGCAGAAGCTTTCGTTGTAGCTGAGATTATTGCCAACCTTCATAAAGGTACGTAACACACTAATCTTTCAAGTATTTAATTTATATGTTTTTTGTTCTTTCTAGTTGGCATACTTGATAGATATTATCTTACCTACAGAATCCATCTCTTCGAAACAAAAAGTTCGTGTTGGTTGTATATCTCCTTACAAGGCTCAAGTTTTTGCTATTCAACAAATTCTTGGCAACAAATATAGCACAGATGTTAAGAGTGACTTCTCTGTGAATGTACGCTCCGTTGATGGTTTTCAAGGTGGTGAAGAGGATGTGATAATTATATCCACTGTTCGTTGTAATGGCAATGGATCGGTTGGTTTCCTCTCGAATTTTCAAAGGGCAAATGTAGCATTGACTCGAGCAAGGTACTAATTTTGTGAACAGCATTTTACATTTCAAAATGGTTTTCGGTATTCTTAATTATTTACTTCGATTCTTATGTAGGTACTGCCTTTGGATATTGGGAAATGGCACAACTTTGGTTAACAGTGGTTCCATATGGAAGAAGTTGGTCGTTGATGCCAAGGTTCGCGGTTGTTACTTTGATGTTACTGAAGACAAGCGATTGAGTCAAGCAATTTTGAACGCAACCATTGAACTTGGCAAGCTAGAAACATTACTCAAAACAGATTCACCTTTATTTCAATCAGCCAAATGGAAGGTATGTTGCTTTATTTGGCCTATAATATGAATATTTGAGTTCTGTTTGCAAACGGAGAAATAATGAGTTCTTTGCTGTTTTAACTTAACAGGTTGTATTTAGTGAGGATTTCTCAAAATCCATTGCCAGAATTAAGGATGTTGAGATAAGTAAAGAAGTGATTTCCCTTTTGGTGAAGCTTTCGAGTGGTTGGCGTAAGTCAGAAAAGAACCACATGTTCAGCAACAAAGGCGGAAATTCTTCTGTACGGTTGGAGGAGTATGTTGTCAAGCACCTAAAATTGATTTGGACCATAGATATTCAGCAGCAGAACTCTACATACCTTCAAGTACTAAAGATATGGGACATTTTACCAGGAAATCATATACCAAAATTTGCAAAGAATCTCGACAAACATTTTGGTCAATATACCATTGATATGATGAATCGATGCAAATACAAACGTGTGGAACGGTACAAACTGTCTTATATTGTTTCTCTGGTCTACATTTCTGCTGATTCTTACGAGTACATTTTAGGATAATCGAATTAGTACTCCACGTACATGTCTTAGTCACAAGTCTTCATTTTTCTGCAGAAACTTTGTATTTCCAATGACTTGGGTAATTGATGGAAATGTTGTCTCAACAACAACCTCACCTCACAGTAACCGAGACGACAACTTGGCACGCCAATTGGCAGCTATGAATTTGAGGGATAAACCAGGATCGTCGAGAAGTTCCAAGTGAGTAGTACTACACGAAAAAAGCGAAAACAGAACTCTGATATATGTTTTTTTTTTTTGTGTTAGATTAGTCTAGTTACTAACTTTACTCAATTGTTATACCAGTAATTTTCAAAAGTCCAAGAAGAAGAAAGGAGAAGTGTTCCGCGAATCAAAACAGAACCAACTTGCTGAAGATTTCATGGAAAAATATACACGCAACAAGTCCAAATAGAAGTCTAAACATCGCGTAATACAGGTAAAACATGAAACAGAAAAGAGTGACACTAAATATATTGCCATATCTACTACTTACTACATTTCAATGTAAGTTTCTTAGTTTGACTATCTACGAACTTTCTTAACATTAAATTCTGTTTTTTCTTGGCAGTTTGTTGCTTGAAAAGCTTGGTTTTTTGGTGCTATTCACTGCCTTCATCATGTTAATACTGCAACTGATCTGGTGATGATCCTATAGTTTTTGAATCTGCGCGTTGAAGTGAAATGGCATCCTGCTCTTTAAAATGTAGCAAAGACCCTATATATATTTATATACAACTTGAAGGTCTTAGTATTTGATTGTGCCTACATTGTGAAAATTCCATTCTGTCATATATTCATATACCATATATACCATGGTTCCTAGAATTGTAACGCGCGTATTTCATCAATGAATTTAAGTTATTTACTTGGACAATATAACGATTTTGTTTGCCTCAACATAGTATGACAATGGCAAACTATATGATCATTCATCAACCAAAGTAGATTCCGGGGTGGAGCTGCAGCTTCGACAGAACAAAGTTGTTTTGGCTCAACCACATTAAGTGCAACATGATAGAAGCAATATGCAAAAGTGACAAGAAAGTGCTAGACAAGTAAAAATGGACGGATGAAATATTTGAAAAATAACATAACGAATCTATGTTTGAATTTACCGTCAAAATAAAAAGATTTGACTCTTACCATCCGAACAGTGTTACATAATTAATTGAGACATATGGAATAGTAACTTTTAATTAATGTTGTCAATAGAGGTATCCCATCTATGCATGGAAATTGTGTAAACTCTATAATTCCCAAGGAAGAAAATGAGGAGACTTTTGAACAAAAAAAAAAAAAAACTACTCTTAATGAATTCACTTGTTGTAGAAACTCCTAATCTCATAAGAAGAAGTAATAGGTAATTAAACTCCCTTCTTTAATTTTGTTTTTGCATGTGTAAGATTAAGATGTTTAATTAATTTATTTATTTTAATGACAATTAGGTGAAGATCATGTCAACAACAACAACAAAGAAGACACCAATTCCTGGCTTAGTGGATTTGATGTTTTCTTGGTCTTTTAAGGGATGTACTCAACAAAAATCTTTACAGAGACAAGGTTTGAATTTTTACTTTTCTAGTATGTCAAGCAATTATTGTTTACAAAATGCGCATGCTCATCTAAGGATTTTAAAATATGAATAAATAAACACAAGAAAAGTCAAGAAATTATAACATTTATAGTAATTTAACATAATATATATAGTGTAAATAAGAATTAATCTATTTATAGTTAATATAAATATTATTAATACTCTCTATTTAACGTTATTTTTATACACCATGCCAAACAACCAATTTACTCATAGAAAAAGAGGTCGGCAGGAAAACAAAGTTGCACATAGTACAATAGTAGCTTTTAATTTGTCATTATAACAAAGTTTTATGGCAAATGAGAAAACAAAAGTTAATAGAAATATTTGAATTTTCTTTAATTCCCAACGAAGGAAACGAAACGACCTCCAAAAAATCACTTTCAAAAGTAGTTATTTTCTACATTTCCCTAAATAAGATTTCACTTTTTTCCACATCAATTTAATTTCTTTATTTATTTTTTTGTTATGTTGCACAAAAAATATATTATTAATATATAATTTTTTTACGTTATCAAATCAATATAAGTACAATTTATTATAACACGTACGTAACTCACTTTATAAAAACTTAAACTCATTTTTTTATACCAGCAGTACCAAGTAAAGTAACCCATACTTGAACTATATTCTTATTAAGTTAACAAGTCTTAATATACGGTAACCTTAGTTAATTTGTTGTAACATGTTAAGTATTTAATTTGTATCACTTTTATTTGTTCAATATATTAAAAATAAATATCTATCATTATTTATCACTTAATTTCTAATTTATTCTTATTAGTAACTATAATCATTCCTCAATAGAATTTTCAAATTAAAACATTGTATTTATTATATTCAAAATGGTGACTAGTTGAACACCATTCGTTGTAAAATTATGCATATCGAAAATTATAGGATCTATATATGTCATCTTTTATTTTCTTTATGTATATATTAAATCTTGAATACCCTTAATGAAATTTCTGACTTCACTACTGATTATATTCATTTCTCTTTAAAAGGTGTGATAAATTAATACTGGACAAATAAAAATAACAGAGGATGTTGCCTTTTATATATAGTTTAAGACTTCAATTCTAAGTCTTCCTTATAACTTCTCATCATCTTCCTCTTTCTTCCTTTGGAATCTTTGTCACTTTTGGTACAGTATATAAACACTGATATTGACACCAACATGTAATATTATTAATATAAATATACAACTTCAATTTCCTCTAAGTTTTGGCAAACAAAAAAATGAAAAAAAAAACTATATATTATAAGTTTTCCTTGTAACTTCTCTGTTTTTTTTTCATCTATTTTAGTTGTTGACTATTAGTCCGCCTTGTTGAAGGTCTTTATAATCTTTATTCCACACTTTTTCTCCTTTCTATCATATGATTGTACGAAATAAATTATTTTTCTACATTAAAGTTACTTGTCATTTTCCACATATGTTTTTACTAAACTTTCATCATTTTTGTTGAATGCAGCAGTAGAGAATATTTTGTTGCTTCAACATAATATAAAGTTATTAGTAACTAAAAGATCATAATCCTAGAAGAAGAAGAAATACAAAGGTAATGTTTTTTTTTTCCCTTATATTTGTTCTTGCATGTTGATGATCATGATGATGATGTACATGTTGTTAATTTTATTTTTATTTTAATTTTTTAAAATATTTTTGATTAATATTAGGGGGAAATGACAACTACTACAAAGAAGAAAACAGAGAAAACAATTCCTGGCTTAGTGGATTTGGTGTTTTCTTGGTCTTTAAAGGATGTGTTGAACAAAGATTTTTACAAAGACATAAGAAGAAGTAAAAGGTAATTAAAGTCTCTTCTTTAATTTTGTTCTTTCATGTGTAAGATTAAGATGTTTAATTAATTTATTTGTTTTAATGACAATTAGGTGAAGATCATGTCAACAACAACAACAAAGAAGAAACCAATTCATGGCTTAGTGGATTTGGTGTTTTCTTGGTCTTTAAAGGATGCACTCAACAAAAATCTTTACAGAGACAAGGTTTGAATTTCTACTTTTCTAGTAAGCCAACCAATTATCGTTGACAACATGCGCGTGCTCATCTAATGAGTTCAAAATATGAAGAAGTAAACACAAGAAAATGTCGAGGGATTATAACATCTACTATATATAAAGTAATTTAGCATAATATATATAGTGTAATTTTCTGTCGAAGGAAATTCAGATGAACCCCTTGCACACGCGAGGCTCCTCCCATGGTCATCAAGAGAAGTTAACTTTTTGTTGTGACTTTTAGTGGTTACCAGATCAAATCCAATAGTTTTGGTCCAAATCTTGTATTTAATAATCTCGAATCCATAAACTTCAAATCGTGGCTCTCCCTTATTCCTTTGTATGTGATTTGTCAAGTTATTAATTAATACTATGTGTGTGACAGGTGAAAGAAATACCAGAGACATTCGTATCGATTGATCATTACTTGAAGTCATACATTACTCCACTAGTTGAAGAAACACATGCTGATTTGCTCTCATGTATCTCCACAGTGTCGCGAGCCCCTTTCGTTGAGGTTCTTGATGTTGTAAAATCAGTAAACTTTGAGGCTCCCAAACATTTATATTACCAAATTTTAATCAAGAGAGCTACAGAGGGAGAGAAGATTGAAACACAATATAAACCAGAGAATGGAGATTTGATTGCATTTTCAGATGTGAGACCACGAAGAATCGATGATCTGAACAGACCTGAGAGATCTTATCTCATTGCCATTGTTCAAAACATGAACGATGAAGACGATGAGGACTGGATACCTATACTGTCTTCAAATCTTATTCCGTTTCAGCAACAAGGGGACAAGCTTTTTGTGGTCTATCTTTCTAATTTGATAACAAATATTCGAATATGGAATGCTTTGCATTCAGATCCTGATAATGCAAATCGGAAGATCATTAAGACTGTGTTGCAAAATGATGTAACTAATGTAAGTTATCGGCTATGTGTTATGTCACAAGTCATTTCCGGGGAAATATTTTCCATGAAAAATGACTTTTGTCGTACTAAACACACTCATCACAGTTTTTTCCTTCTTAATCTTGTTAATCTAGCATTCATGTTGAGCTCTACTAAATTTTGATCAATTGCAGGGTGAAGTAGACTGCACACGTTGCTCCGGTAGAGAAACTAAAACTGATGTTATATCAAATTCAAGTGACATCATTCAGTCATTTGGTCTAGATGATGCTCAACAAGAGGCTATTCTAAGTTGTATCGCAACAAGGGAATGTGATCATCGGAATATGGTTAAGCTAATTTGGGGTCCTCCAGGAACCGGGAAGACTAAAACAGTTGCCTCTTTACTTTATGTCCTGTTAAAGATGAAATGCAGAACTTTGACATGTGCTCCTACGAACATTGCTGTTTTGGGAGTAGCAAAGAGGTTGATGCAGCATGTACAAGACGGTCTTGAATATGACACGTATGGTTTAGGAGACATTGTTTTATTTGGAAACGGGGAAAGAATGAAGATCGGTGATCATGAAGATCTGTTTGATGTATTTCTTGAGAACCGTGTTGATGTTCTTGCTAGCTGCCTGTCAGCAAAAGATGGGTGGAAAAGTACTGTACAATCCATGATATGCTTGCTCGAGGATCCTGAAGAGCAATATCGCAAGTACTTAGAAAAAGATGAAAGTAAGGAACATGACACGAATGATAATAAGGATACAAATGATGACGAAGAGGAAGTAAAAGGTAGCGTTAACAATGACGAATCTAGCTTGAGCAACAAAGATGGGAAGATCAATGCTCATGGACTAGTAGATAAGCATAGGAAGAATAAGTTGTGGAAGAGATATGTTCTTGAA